TAGCATGGCCTCCTAACAATCCCCATATCCACTGATTGGCTTCATCACTCTGTCTTCTCTCAACCAATAAGCTGGTGTGTGGTGGGCGTTCTGGCGCACTATGGCTGCCATCGCATCATCCAGGTGGATGCTGCACACTGGTGGTGGTTGAGGAGATTTCCCCGCTTTCATGTAAAGCGCTTTGAGTACCCAGAAAAGCGCTATAGCCTACTGTAAATGTACAGGGGCGGCGCCAGAAAATTTTGACCGCAGGTGCTGAGGTGGTGCTAGATCATTGACAGGGGGAGCTGGGCAATTAATAGTAGGCTAAATATAACCAAAATAGGTTATTTTATTTTTTATATATATATATATATAATATATATATATAATATGCGTAAGGAGTCAAATGTTTTTTATTATTTTTTTTTATTTTTTTATTTAGTTTCTTTTTTATTATCAGCCTATTTATTAAATACAATTGGCTACATCATGATTCCAGGAAAAAAATCTGTTTATCTATTCATATATATATATATGAAAACATGTCAAAAGATAAATAATGTCACGGTCACTTGGACTTTTATCTGACATTTACGTCATATCGTGCGCGCATGCGCGTGCCACCCGGCAGTGAAACTCGCTTATTCACACAGGTGAATAACATCAAAACAGACACAGAGCGTCCCGATATCAGAGATCAGAAATGGGCAAAGGTGGCGGAACGTTTGAGAGACTGTTGGGTATGTGTTATATTTCATCTTTTCAGTGTTTATTTCGACGGACAGACCGATGTATCGCTGACACATAGATAAAGTGTGTCTGCTAATGCTAACGCTAGCACAGCTTGAACAGTGACGGGAACGTTAGCATTTAACGTCTATTGTCTTTATTTTGCTCACCGGAGCTTCAACACACCAGTGCCACGAACTTAAACATGACATTGCGAACATCTTTTTCAGGTAAACCGTATGGTGTTGTAACTTAACTGTAGTTGACAAATCCATTATTTTACGTAAGCTAAGTTAGTTAGCACCCCATCTGAGCTAAAGCTATTCTCGGGCCTCTTTTTCACAAGCTACGTATACTATAAGCAGGGTTTAAAATAACAAATCATATATGCGTTTCTCATATTGTGTGCTTAGTGTGTATGAAGTAGTTGACTTTGTCTTCACCACATCTCGCTGTAAAGCAGGCAATTATAAGAGGCGTGTAAACATTGTCATGGCACTTCATATCAATATTTATGTTTACAGTTGCTTATACCTTTTGGAAAAGTGTAATTTAAGGATTCTGAAGGTATTCCCGTTATTCAAGGTTGGCTCTTCTTGTTTGCTCGTGTAATCGAGTGCTTCTGTTTAAAGAGAGAGAGGATATTTTGCCCATTTTTATTTAGGTTCACCACATAACAGTAACTTCCTGTTACTTACACACACACACACACACACATATATGGGGTTGCATATGGGTTGTAATTTCTATTCTTGATTTTTGGGATTGTGTGGTTTACTGGACAATATGTAAAATATTCATCATACAGTAGGGCTGCACGATAAATCGTAATAATTAGATTTTTTCGTTTTGTTAATTTTTATGACTATTATATAATATGTATTATGTAATGTAAGTAATATAGGTTGGTACATGTTTATTTATTGCTCTGTATTGTATTGGTTCCTATAAATTATGATAATTAAATATGATTCTTTCTTGTGTTCATTTAGTGGAAAACGTGTCTTATGTAGAATTTTCTATTTATTTTTGGTATCAGTATGTACCAGTGAAGAGAGATATATTTTACTATACCGTCAAACCTGAACATGGTCTTTTCTGCTTCCTTTTCTCATGTTTTTAGTAAACAGACCTTTAACTAATTGATTCTGATAACACTTGACAATAACACATGTGCTCTTTCAATCTTTCACAGATAAGGCTACCAGTCAGCTGCTGCTGGAGACAGACTGGGAGTCCATTTTGCAGATATGTGACCTCATTCGGCAAGGCGACACGCAGTAAGATAAAACATTTTCTGATGTGATTGCATGTCACTGGAAGAGCAGGAATCATGCGTTGTGATAAATATGGCTTTGACTTTCTTATATACTGTTTTGTTATTTCCCGCCACCAGGGCTAAATATGCAATTGGTGCCATCAAGAAAAAACTCAATGACAAAAATCCACATGTAGCGCTCTATGGTCTTGAGGTAAGTGTAGTTCATCTACAAATATAGAGCACTATAGACCAGGGATTTTCAAACAACAATGAAAAGTAAAAATAAATTATAAAAGTAATATTAAGATTATTTTATTATTAAAATAATAAATAATGACTTAATAAAAATAGATTAAAATCAATAAATTATGCAAAGTGTATTTAAATAAATAATTAAAATACTATAATTAATACATAATGATTAAATAATTAAATAGTGACTGTGACCATATATATAAAGTTTTTGTATTATATGCAAAGAAAACATCTTGGAGCGCTACTGCTGAAAGGACCTCCGTTTAATAGTCCCAGAAGGTGCTCTTTGGTAGGGTTCAAAATTATATCTATAGAAACTACGGATCCAAGACACTTCTTCCAGTTCCAAAATGTTAAAAAGCCTTTATTCAAGCATGGCTCACTCTAGAAACATTAAAAATGACTAGAACACTGCACACTGATTCATTTCGGCCATCCAGCCTTCCTCAGAGTGTGTCAAGTACAAAATTAGTCACAGGTGTAGATATAATCAGTTGCTCAGTAGAAATGGGAGAAACCAAAATATATTTTTGTATAATGCCTCGATCAGTCAAGGTCATGTGTGTAAGCTAGCATTTGCTTGTCAACAGGTCCTGGAGTCAGTGGTGAAGAACTGTGGCCAGACGATTCATGATGAAGTGGCCAGTAAGCAGACAATGGAAGAGCTGAAGGAGCTGTTCAAGGTGATTCCTGCTTAACTCAACCTATAATATAGTGATATCTGTTGCTTTAAGAGTTGTCTTTGGCCCTGCCTTTATGGTCTTTCCAAGTGGGTTAGACCCAGTGACTAATGCTGCACTGTACTTCCTGATTGTGTCATCACGTCACATGTTTATTTGGCTGAGGGAAGTTCCAGCAGAAATCAGAAACAACACACTGTTCTTGGATTTCTTTTGCTGGTCTGTAGGGTTGGGTACCGTTCACATTTTAACCGGTACGGTACCGGTATCGGTACCTGAATTTCGGTGCCGGTACCCAACGGTACCTTTTTTCGGTTCTTTACTCTGTGTAATTACAAAAACATTTATTTCAGTGAAAAAATAAGTCCAAAAGTCTAAATTTCAACATTTTGAAAAGGGCCCTACAAACTTTTTCTCTTTTTTTTTTTTTTATTGTATTATTTTTTTCTACAATTAAGTGATTAATCTGGTTTTAATATTTATTTTTATCATTTAATTGTTTTATTTCAATTTGATAGAAAATAGAATATTTAAAGATGTAAATTATACTGTACAAAAGACAAAATACAATTTATTACTTATTACTTATTTTACTTTGAGTAATATATTTCTGTTTCATGTTAAACCGTACTGTTATTTTGACAGGTTGCCATGAAGTTTCTGTGTGTATACAGTATGATGATGCTAGTTTTCTCAAATGAAACGGTAAAATTCTCGCGAAGTGACTCTCACAGCAGCTCTGGAGATTAGGTTTTTGTGTTCATGTCGTCATATAGTGAGACGCAGAGGCAGAAAATCACAGCGAGCCTCGTGCATGCTTCAGTATTTGTGTAGTGAACCAAACCACGGCGTTTCCACCATTCATACATACAGAGGCAAGCGGAACATGCAGGATTCATATTTAAACCGTCTTTTTGCATTTTAATATTCACAGACACTAGTTCATATCGCGATTCGAATTAAGTGGCAGTGGCTACTTTTGATTTATTCGTCCAAAATTGAGTAATTCCGTGGCATTCTGTGCTATAGAGTAAATTAAATTATGAATGGATTCCGCGATCCCGTCCGCGTTTTCGCAGAAACCATATGGCCCTAGAAATGTAACCACACTTCACAACATTTCGGCTTGCCCTGTGTGTTGTTTGAACGAGTTGCAGGGGTGACATCACGTCACAGGGTTTCTCTTTTTCTGTCTGTAGTGTATGCGCCCAGATGCGTTCTCAGGTACCGAAATTTGGCACCGATTGATTTAACGTGAATCGGTACTCGGTAGTACCAACGCAATTCGGTCGGTACCCTTAAAAGTACCGAGTTCGGTACCCAACCCTACTGGTCTGTAAGCTTTAAAAATCACAGAAGGTTTTGAGGTGGTCAAAAAGACTTGAGATTTTTCTGTTCTCATGTTTGTTTTTTGTTTTTTTTAAATAACCGGTTAGAGGACTTCTGTGTTCTGATTTTAAAGCCATCACTGACTGAATGTGACTTCTTTGTGTTCAGAAACAACCCGAACTGAACGTGAAGAACAAGATCCTTTATCTGATCCAGGCCTGGGCCCACGCCTTCCGCAACGAGCCCAAGTACAAAGTCATCCAGGACACCTATCAGATCCTGAAGGTGGAAGGTAAGATTTACGCAGGTTAACGCATTTCTAAAGGGCATCCATTTCTAAATTTGCAGAACCAGATTGATATGATGCATTATGCACTGCTGCAATTTATATACATATACTTTCCAATGCATAGTGCAATTTAAAAGCAAAAATACCTGATTCATTTTCAAATGTCAGTAAAAATAAGATGACAAGCTGTGAAACTTTTTAAAAGAAAAACAATCACTTATACTCGTTCAGGTCATGTCTTCCCAGAATTCAAGGAGAGTGATGCCATGTTTGCAGCGGAAAGGGTGAGAATAACACTGTTGAGTAAATCATGTACATTTTGCACACTCTGAGATGTTTGGTTTGTCATGGGTCTGTCATTTTTTTTCTCTTCCAGGCCCCTGATTGGGTGGATGCAGAGGACTGTCACAGATGTAGGGTTCAGTTTGGTGTTATGACCCGAAAGGTATATACCACTCCTTTGAAAATCTACTATCCTTAGTTATATAATGTTTATGAAGTACTCTATCTAAGTCAATGTTATGATGCATAACTGCTGGTGGCTCTTCATTCAGCACCACTGCAGGGCATGTGGGCAGATTTTCTGTGGGAAGTGCTCTTCTAAGTACTCTACCATTCCCAAGTTTGGCATTGAGAAGGAGGTGCGTGTGTGTGAGCCCTGCTTCGAGCTTCTCAACAAGTGAGTATATGTGAAAAAGACAAATACCTACCATTGTGCTGCTCTTTCTGTTATTTGAGAAAGGGTATTCGTGATACCTTACATAGGAATAGTTGACACAAAAATAAAATTTCTATCATTTTTTATCCCATATATACTCCATACAGCTAGAGCAGAAATAAATTACATTGTAAAATAAAACAATTATTTTAAATTGTCATAATATTTCACAATATTACTGTTTTACTATATTTCTGTGATCACAGAATGTAATCTTTTGTCAGAAAATGTCTTTATATCTGTGTAATATCTTCTTGGAGTTGTCCTTTGGGTTTCTCATGTTCATAAGCCTGCTGATGCCTAGAGATTTACCAGGATGTGTGTGTCTCCTAACCCCTCCTCCTCACCAGCCACCCCTCCCTTTCTCCCCCTCCTAGGAAAGCTGAAGGGAAGGCCACCAGCGCTGGACAGCCCGAGCTTCCCCCTGAGTACCTGACCAGCCCTTTGTCCCAGCAGTCTCAGGTAGTGCCCACAGAATCAGTAAGTAGTTGCATTTCATAGAGGGCTCACTCTCATGGGCGTCACAATTATGGAGCATACCACCAAATTAATTGAAACGGACAATGAACCAATAGTTTATCATTCATGCCCAAGTTTATTTGGATCTTGAATGCAAAGCAATTTTGAGGCTCATGAGTGAGAGCTCATATTACTGTCTAGTTTGTGTGCTTACTGTCAATCCCACTCCAATCAGTAATAAACACTGTATTTAAAGGTGAAGTGTCACTGGTGTGACCAAATAGAATTGCTGAAAAAATGGCTGGCCATTTTAGGAGTAGTTCATTTATGATAATATGATAACAGTTTTATGTTTTTGAAAAAAGTCTCTTTGTTCATCAAGGCTGTGTTTATTTGATTGAAAATACAGTAAAAAAAAAAAAACAGTAATATCGTAAAATGTTTTTACAGTTTGAAATAACCATTTTCTATTGTAAAATGTAATATATTCCTGTGATCAAACCTGAATTTGCAGCATCATTACTCCTTCAGAAATCATTCTAAAATGATTTGCTGCTCAATAAGCATTTCTTACTATTAGCAATTTTGAGAACGATGTTTTTATAGGATTTTTTTTTTTTTGATGAGTAGAAATATTAAAAGAATATTTATTTGAAATAGAAATCTTTTGTAAAAATATAAATGTCTCTGCTGTCATGTTTGATCAAATTAATGCACCCTTGCTAAATAAAATATTTTTTCTTTCAAAAAATAAAAATAAAACAAATCTTACTGACTCCAGACTTTTGGGCAATAGTGTATATTCATAACAGCTAATCAGATTCACACCAATGCAAAGCTGAATTTCCAGCATCATGACTCTTCAGTGTCACATGATCCTTCAGAAACATTTCTCATTATCAATGTTGAAATAAATTGTGTTGCTCAATATTTTTACAGAAACTGTGACACTTTTTTCAGGATTCTTTCAAAAGCAGAATTTATTTGAAATAGAAAACTTTTGTTACATTATGTCTTTACTTTGTCTTGTCACTTTTGAATAATTTAATGCATTCTTGCAGAGTATCAAGTATTTAAGTATTTTTTGTTTAAAAAAAGACAACGATTTTTATCAGGACAAACTTTTTAGGACTTATTTAAAAAACAAATTAAATGGACCCAGAAAAACTTTTACAGAATGCATACAAAATCTTTTTGTCCAAGTTAAATTTTATTTTTAAAAAAGAGTGATAAAAAGAGATATTATATTGTTGAATGCTTAATCTGTATCCGCAATGTAATGGCATAAATTTAAATACAACCAACATTAATTTATAAAAATTACCTAAAACTTTTGAATGGTAGTATATGAAAAACCCAATCAGTGTATTTAAATAATATTTTCGTTATTTTCAGCTGGCCCGTTACCTAAATAGAACTTACTGGGAGAAGAAACAGGAAGAGGTTCGCAATTGAATATATTTTAAAATGTAATTTATTCCTGTGATGCAAAGCTGAATTTCCAGCATCATGACTCTTCAGTGTCACATGATCCTTCAGAAACATTTCTCATTATCAATGTTGAAATAAATTGTGTTGCTCAATATTTTTACAGAAACTGTGACACTTTTTTCAGGATTCTTTCAAAAGCAGAATTTATTTGAAATAGAAAACTTTTGTTACATTATGTCTTTACTTTGTCTTGTCACTTTTGAATAATTTAATGCATTCTTGCAGAGTATCAAGTATTTAAGTATTTTTTGTTTAAAAAAAGACAACGATTTTTATCAGGACAAACTTTTTAGGACTTATTTAAAAAACAAATTAAATGGACCCAGAAAAACTTTTACAGAATGCATACAAAATCTTTTTGTCCAAGTTAAATTTTATTTTTAAAAAAGAGTGATAAAAAGAGATATTATATTGTTGAATGCTTAATCTGTATCCGCAATGTAATGGCATAAATTTAAATACAACCAACATTAATTTATAAAAATTACCTAAAACTTTTGAATGGTAGTATATGAAAAACCCAATCAGTGTATTTAAATAATATTTTCGTTATTTTCAGCTGGCCCGTTACCTAAATAGAACTTACTGGGAGAAGAAACAGGAAGAGGTTCGCAAGAGTCCCACCCCCTCTGCTCCTGCTCCAGTTTCACTGGCTGAGCCTGTGCCAATCAGCCAACCAGTGGAAAGCCACGCTTCAGTCCAACCCATCAACATAGTAGAGGTACTTTGAGCACTGAAAATGGATAATCATAAAAGCATTTTAATCATGTTCCGCGCTGAATGTCTTGCATGTGTCTCTTCAGCAGCAATATCAGAATGGAGAATCTGAGGAGAACCATGTGCAGTTCCTGAAGGCCTTGCAGAACGCCGTCACCACCTTCCTTAACCGCATGAAGAGCAACCACATGCGCGGCCGCAGCATCACCAATGACAGCGCTGTGCTCTCTCTCTTTCAGTCCATCAACAACATGCACCCACAGCTGCTGGAAATACTCAACCAGCTGGATGAAAAGAGACGTGAGTCACGTGTGCATGTTTGTGTCTCAAACCCATTTCCACCTGGTATCAACATTCACGCGCAGTGCTAAATAAAGGTGTAAATGGGGTCCAAAACCTCCTCTATTAATTTATTAATGCCAAGTAGTGAAAAACACCATATATGATTTTTGCTATTGAATACTTAGAATTCATTTTACAGTTTGCAAAACAATCATTTGGATAAAAATAATACCCATGGCTAAAGATTTTAAATGAACCGTAATTGTTGTTCAGTTGTTAGTTCATTAAACATAATGCACTAACAAATGTTAACAAATTGTACCATTTTTATAATATGTGGTCATCCGATGTGGATTATTTGATGGCCAAGATATATATATATATATATATGTATCTGTATATGTATATATATGTGTATGTGTGTGTCTATCGGCCATCAAATAATCCACATCGGATACTAATTTAAAGCTAAGTGAATAACACATGTATAACAACTGCTGCAAATATTTTTTACATAATATTTAATAAAATAATAAAATTGATTTCTCAATATATACAGGGTGTCCGTGGGGTCTTAAAAAGTATTAAAAGTATTTATGGAATCCTGCAAGATTTGACGTCATCTGTTACGGCGCTCACTGACTGACTGCGCCGCTGCGTGATAGCGCCGGGGCTTGTTGATCCTGCTCTCGCTGAATTTCTGACCATTACCGCACGCTCCCATTTTTGTTTTTTTCCCATTTTGATTTTTGTGTCCGCTTCCGCAAACATTCTAATATTGTATATCATTTTTGCCCATCAGGGCTGCGCTATCAATATGTGGGGTATTTAAATCCCCTTTGAATGAGCGCTCGCTGTCGTAATTCACTTTCGATTTTGCGATCGCGCGCGCACTGTGTAAAGGGAGCACATCCTACGATAAAAGATACTATTTGTCAATGCACTCGGGATCTGTTGAGAAGCAAATCCTCCAACATCTTGTCATTGGTTAGTCACTCAATTAATTATCTTGTGCTTCGTTCCCCCCTTCTGAATTATGTTGTATTGATAAGGAGTTATCATAAAGTAAGTCTGTTAATTGTGCTATCTTAAAATCAATATATAGTAAATGTAATCTAAAGTGTCGCTGATGTAACCGGTTAAAACTTGGAGTGGCGATGAGGTCTTAAAATGTATGGAAAGAGTCTTAAAAAATGTCTTAAAAGGTATTAAATTTAACTCCATAATTCCTGTATATACCCTGATATAATTTACAGCTAGTAAATAACACATGCATAACTGCTGCAAATAAGTTTATATTATTTATCAGAAACAAATAATTTGATAATGAATCAAATTCAATTTAAATAATGATCAAAATAAATGAGATTGTTTATTTAGATTTCCCACTATTTAAAGATCGTAAATATCACATGCATTTCAACTGCTGCAAATAAATTTGTTTAATATATTTACTAAAATAATTAGAAGTAAATCATTTGAAAATGAATCAGTTTAAATGTAAACATCAGAATAAATTAGATTATATATTTATTATTATTATTTTTACCTTAATAATATTTAGAAACTGCTGCCCCCAAGCTGTTAACCTGATGTTTTGTTAGTAACTTCCAGTGTAGATAACTGCTCTTTCCAAATGACACAAAATTTACAAATATATTGTAGCTTGGTGGGTTGCAGTTTCAAAGTATCGTCCATAACAATTCTGAATTAAAAGGTGCTTTGTGATGTGAATGTTGTCTTCTCTCTCGGTCAGTGTACTATGAGGGACTTCAGGACAAACTGGCGCAGGTGCGTGACGCGCGGGCAGCACTGAACGCTCTGAGAGATGAGCACAGGGAGAAACTGAGACGGGCTGCCGAGGAGGCAGAGAGACAGAGACAAATCCAACTCGCCCAGAAACTAGAGATCATGAGGCAGAAAAAACAGGCAAGTTGCTTTTCTTTTGAGCCTGTGAATCATGTGATGAGGGAAAGCTGACTGTGATTGGTTACTGCAGGAGTACTTGGAGATGCAAAGGCAGCTCGCAATCCAGCGCCTGCAGGAGCAGGAGAAGGAGAGACAGATGCGCCTGGAGCAGCAGAAACACACCATTCAGATGAGAGCACAGATGCCTGTGTTCTCCCTGCCTTATGCACAGGTGTGTACTACTACATTCATACATTTGACACATTCAGTGTGCAGATCAATGAATCAGTCATGATAAATATTATAATGTACAAATGACGTATGTATTAGGCTAACCGAGACTTGTCATTTGCACTTATATATTGTTGCTCTTTTGTTAGTTTTGATTGCCTTTATTGTCCTCATTTGTAAGTCGCTTTGGATAAAAAAATGTTTAAATAGATGAACGCAAGGAAGAATATTTAATCATTTTCATGTGAAGCAAATTTACCAACTGAAGTTTAAATAAGAGACAGTCTTAAAACATCTCAGTCTTTGCAGTCTCAGTCTCTTTCATACGTAAGTGACACAAACACACACACACACACATATACATATATATAATAGTTTCTTGTATCACATAGAATTTAACATCAAACACATATTTTAGCAAAATGTTTATTTTAGTCAGAATTGTTGCACTCTCATTCTATTGCGGCTTCAGTCTGTGAAGTTTAACGGAGACCTGTTTGATTTCAGGATGATCCTTTATGGAAATGGATGTAATCACATGACTCTCTAACGTTTTAAGTGTGCAAACATGATTAATTGATAATCTAATTCTTTGTTGATTATTTTAATTTCATCAGTTTTGTCAATTCATCGATGCAGCCCTATTTGTAATGTGCTGTTTGGTGTTTGTAGATGCAGTCACTGCCTCCTAATGTGGCAGGAGGGGGGGTGTATCCCCCCACTGGCCCTCCCAGCTATCCTGGCACCTTCAGTCCTGCTGGCTCAGTGGAGGGGTCGCCCATGCATGGAGTCTACATGAACCAGCACGGACAGACTGCTGCCGGTGGCCCGTACCAGGCCATGCCTGTGTCAGCTACAGGTCAACCAAACATCCTCTATCTTTCTCTCGCTCTCTTTTTAAAAATCGTTTTAGTGAATAAACCAGATCAGCTTCAAATGTGGCACTTTTTTATTTAACAGATTCTCTGCTCACTCTCTTTTAGATCCCAACATGGTGAATGCTTACATGTATCAGACTGCAGGCACCAGTGGGCAGCCATCCGCCCCAGGACAAGCCCCTCCCACAACCACCCCTGCCTACACTAACTACCAGCCCACACCCACACAGGGCTACCAGGTCAGGAGATTCAAGATCAATGTTTCAGGATCAGTTTACATCTTTACATTTACCCAAAATGTTCATATTATTTTACTTCTTTACAAGTACTGTTATTTATGGAGTCCCGTTTCCTACACTGAATTTTTTAATCTCACAATTGCCTTTTTTTCTCATAATTGTTATATCTTGCAAGTCTTACTTTTTTTCTCAGAATTGTGTGATATAAACTCTTAATTGTGAGTTATAAAGTACAATTCTGAGGGCAAAAATCACAATTGCAAGTTTATATCACGGAATTCTGAAATTGAAAAGTCAGAATTCCAAGTTTATATCACGCAATTCTGAGAATAAAAAGTCATTTTGAGATTCGGCGTGAATGTTTACATGTTCTTTCTGTAGAACGTGGTCTCTCAAGCTCAGAGTTTGCCCCCTATGTCCCAGGCTGCCCCCACCAACGGTATTGCCTACATGGGCTACCAGCCATACAACATGCAGGTACGTTTTACTGCATCAGATCACAGGTTGTGTCCCGCATTGCAGCCTGTATGTCTCAGATCTGATGTTCTTTCCTATTTATAAAAACCACATGGGATGGAAAGTTTGAAGACTGTCACTGATTGCTGTTAACTTCTTTTGTAGAATATGATGACCGCTCTTCCAGGACAAGACCCCAACATGCCTCCCCAACAGCCCTACATGCCTGGGCAACAGCCTATGTACCAGCAGGTAAGCATTTTTATGTAGAAAGATTTTATTGTGCGGAATAGCTTACTGTTCTCTTACTATTTCAGCAGTATTTGTATTTTTTGCGGAGTACACACCTTTATACTGAATGGTCAAATTTACAGAAATGTGCAATATACAGTGACTATACAGTGAATTATATATTTAATATAAAGAAACTACGGTTTTTTTTTTTTTTTTGGTTGATTGAAAAGTTGTACAAAGTTTGATATAAACATGAAACAACTAATTATTTCCAAGATGATAACTTTAAAACATTAGGCAGCACAACTGTTTCCAACATTGAAAATAAAATCAGCATACGAGAATAATTTCTGAAAGATCGTAAGACACTGAAGACTTTTAATGGCTGATGAAAATTCAGCTTTGCCATAACAGGAATAAATTATATGAAGTATGTTATGTATAGTAGATTAAATAAGTATATTAAAAATAGAAAACTCCCTTATTTTAAATTGTAGTAATATTTCACAATATTACAGTTTTTACTGTATTTTGGATCAAATAAATGCAGCCTTGATGAGCATAAGAGACTTCTTTAAAAAACATGAGAAATTTTCTAATCCCAAACTCTTGAATGGTAGTGTATATATCTTCATTTTTTTTAATCCCTATGGAAAAAGTGTGCTGGCACTGTTGCACTCTATTAATCTGAATCATATTGTCTCTTCATGTTTTTAAACAGATGGCTCCCCCCGGCGGTCCACAGCAGCAATCACAACAGCAGCTGGCGCAGGGTCCACCTGGCAGTGCAGAGGCTCAGCTCATTTCATTTGACTGATCATAGCTCATCATATGCCATTACCCACCAGGTCCAGCACACTACATTCAACCCTCCCTTACCCTGCTGTTTCTGCACCTGCTCTCACTTCACTATGTTCCACAAATATTGAAGGTGTACAAATATTGTAAAAGCATATGGCTGTCTGAGTCTCCCTCCTCTCCCTGTCTCTTTAAATGAAGGAGGAGAGGCTACAGATGGAGCTGGTGGGGAGCCTTTATCTCTTAATTTGATGAATCTCACAAAACTCTCTAGATCATATTTTACCCGTGAAACAAAAAAAGAACCAACTTTTCTTTTTTTTTTCTTTTTTTTGCTTAAAGAAAATGAAACCTGTTTTAGACCATTAAATTTTTTTGTGACAAATTATGACGGTTAAATGTGTTTCCTTGCTCTGTTCTCATTATTGTAATGCAAAAAATTGTCATTAAACTGTAAAGTAGTTACATGGTAATATTTGTTGTACTGATCCTGATATCTTTATCCTGATATCTTGATTTAAAAATGACTGTGTATTAGTAATGAGATTCCCCATTGACAATTATGAGAATTACCAAGAACAACATCAAGTTATCTTATGAGAGTTTTGGTGAAAATATGCTTTGACGATGCAATGGTCCTAGAATAAAATGCCTTTTCTTGTGTTTATGGAAATGTATAAAGCCCATTTCTGCAACATAAGATAGTCATACTTTGGTAAATCATAAGTCATAATTGAGACAGTATTTCTATTGTCTTGTAATTGATGTCATAATTTCAATTTATTTCTGTATCATAATTATCGCTTAGTATCTCAAATCAAAATTGACATTGTAAGTCATAATTACAAGATAAAAAGTCAGCATTTTGAGAATAAGTTTTGATTTGTCATAATTGACTTAGTATCTCATAATTTTGACTTTGTATGAGATACTAAGTCAGAATTATGATAAATGTCTACTTTAATCTCCAATTTCTAATTCAATCTCTGCTATCAATCTCAATTATGACGGATCTCATAGTTTAGATATTTTATTATTTTAAAGTTGAAATTACATTAAGTCAGTTATGAGTCAAAATTGAGATATTGTCATAATTGAGATAGTCAAACACATCTACTGTCATAATTTATCTCAAAATTATGACTTAGTACCTCATACAAAGTCAAAATTATATGAGATTAAGAGATTTCTACTTTGTCATAATTGTATTTTGCTAATCTCAATTATGACTTAGTATCTCATAATTTAGGATTTTGTTTTTATTTTAACATTGAAATTACACTGTGAGTCATAGTTATGAGAGTCAAAATTATGAGATACTAAGTCATAATTGAGATAAAAGTCAAAATTATGACAAACAAATCTACTTTGTCATAATTATGACTTTATCTCATAATTTTGGCTTTTTATAAAAAAGTTTCACCAAAGCTTAGGAAGCAGAAATGAGATTCTATTAAAAATATGACCTGGACATGTTGTGAGATTCATGCTACTGCTAACTTTCATCTCTCTAGATTTTTGCAAATGTAGTTTTTCCTTATAAAACTAAGCTGATGCAAGGTTAGTCATTCGTACCATAGAGAAACAAGCACAATATGGTTCGAAAAGACAAGACATAGCTATCCTTTTGTCTCATATTTTTCTAAGATGTGTTTGCATGAGTGAATATGTAACAGCCATTTATTTTTCTTCGGTTAAGAGTCTTGCTGGCTTTAGCAGAGGTCACTGAGGCATCATAGCAGTTTTTCAGCTCTGATTTGCTCTGAAGTGCTCTAATGTGACATTCCAGTGCTGGTTTCCATGTATCCGATTCTAGAAATACTTCAGAAGCACTTAGGATCAGTGTTGTGGAATCCTCGCTAATGATTTATGCGGTAGATGGTGTTTGGCTTCTGTCGTATAAAATAACAGCCAATGAGATGTCAACTTTACTGCCATTTGCATATCACCAATCTAATCAAAATAAATAGGCTGGTGTTTCCAGATACTGCATGTAAGTTTGCCAGACATCACATCCGTTTGTCTTTGCTCCATGTGGATCTTCACAGAGTGGCATAGCCAGGGGTTCAGACCTGACTGCGCAGAACTAATCAATCGATCTCAAAGCCACAGTTTCATTACCAATTAATTACAGTGCAGAATTGAGTACTGGATCAATGGCAGACAAAGGAAGTCTATTTTTAGACTGTGGTTGTAAAAACTGTTGACAGCCTGTGGATGGTTTTGATGGATGACGTGAACGCTGCATGTTTGTAACACACACACACAACCGGTGACATCTGTAACCCCTTCAATATCATCTTTATTCTATACTGATCCACCTCATGTTAAAAAGAAGTCATTTTAACATCATATTTAATAAATATCTTGTTCTTTTATTGGTCATACATTAGTGGAAATGTTTCTTTTCTTGTCTCTGAAAGTATGCATAATAAAACAACGGCAGTCTGTTCATTTGTGTGTTTGAAGTGCAGGCAGAATGAGAAACTAGTGAAAATATGTGAAACTGACTAAAAGAAAGTGAAGGGTCAGATGTTTTATCTTGGAAACTGGATCCTTGTTCTCTGAATGGACAGATTTCCTACAGTTTTCTGAACACAAGGCATTTGTTACTCTCAGGCATCTCGATCTGTTGAATAACACACCAGACAGAGGTTATCAATGTGCCGTTTTCAAATCTTTTTAGTCCATAGGATTGAGTGAATTCCATGAAAACTGGTCCTATTTTGTCTCTAAATTGTAAGATAGATATGAGAAATTACATTTTGCTTAAAGAATATGAAGCTTGTATATAAGACCATTAGGATTTAGTGTTTTGTGACATTTTCATGATAATTTAGAAATTAAAAGCCCCAAAATCCTCATTTTTTTGTTACACAAAAAACATGGATCCTCATTACTGCAGTATAAATTAAATTGTAAACCTTTTTAATTCATGTAAAATGGTAGTAATTTATTCTAATGTAAATTATGACAAGCATCGCTAAGAATGAGTATTAGAGAAAATATCAATAATAAAACAATAAAGTAAATCATTCAGATGCATTATGGTAATAAGAATTATGGATAAATTGTGTTTAAATGGTTAGTTCACCCAAAAATGAAAATTAGGCTGTGTTTTACTCACCCCCGAGGCATCCTAGGTGTATATTTAGACTTTCTTCTTTCAGACGAATCCAGTCGGAGTTATATTAAAAATTGTCTTTGATCTTTCAAGCAGTTTCATGGCACTCAGCGGGTGTTGCATGCTTCAGTCCAAAAAAAGTGAAATAAAAAGCGCCCATCCATATAAAAAAAGTGCCTCACACGGCTCCGGGGGGTGAACAAAGGCCTCCTGTAACGAATCGATGCGTTTTTGTAAGAAAAATAACCATATTTAAAATGTAATAATCACTTTAATCTAGCTTGTACATCTAGCTGATGTACACAGAAGCAGTTCCAGGGGAATGATGTACGAGTTCAGCGTTGCGCATGCGCCGCTCAGAAGTGACGAACGCGGAAGCACAGCGGAGAGATCAAAACAAAACA